TGGTGGCCTTGTCAATGTTCTCCACCAGCTGCTGCAGTTTCAGGGTCTCTGACCCTGGCTCGGGGGTCCCACTCCCTTGGAAGCCACCAGCCCTTGGGGAATGATGGTCTGGTCCCACCCCAGGGAGTATGGGTCCACCCTCACTGTCTGGAGAAGGCCCAGGCTGCAGGTCACTGGGCAACGGGCCACCCGAGAGGTCCTTGGGATTAGTCCCCGAAGAGAGATTCTGAGGTAGCCCTACAGAGGGGGTTACAAGGACAGGTTTGCTGTCTAAGGAAAGACTCGATTCGTCTATGGGGTCAGGTACAGAGAGCGCATAGAGGGTGCCATTGCCTGCTGCCACTTTGTCCTGGAACTCGGCAAACAGCTGGGGGTTTGCCTTCACCTGGGGATGTCGGTGAAAGTGCACCTTGAGGGCCCTTGGTGGTGAAGCGATGACCACAGACAGAGCACACAAAGGGTCTCCCTCCAGTGTGGGAGCGGAGGTGGATCTGCAAGGAGCTATCAGTCCCGAAAACCTTGCTACAGTACTTACACTTGTGCTTGTAGAGGACCGCCTCGTCCTTGGGTTTGACCTCCACCGCGGAGACGTTTGGGGGCTTCCCCTTCCCCTTCTTGGATGTGTCTAGCGCCATGGTGGAGAAAGGGCTCTGAAAGAGCACCGAGCCCGGGGCCTGAGGAAGCAAAGCGCTCGGGAGGCGGGACATGACGTTCGGGAGCACCCGGGTCCCATCCGGCTTCAGAGCGAAGGGCACCAGCCCTGGGGACAGGGAGCTGGTAGCAGTAGGGATGTTGGCGTGAGGTAGCTTGGCTTGTTTCAAGGCATCCAGAGACAGACCTTGGCTTCCAGCTTTCTGGCTGAGCAGAGCCACAGCTGCAGACACCTGCTGGGACACGTGGCTGCTCAGGGTCTTCAGCGTTTCGGCCCCTGCCCCGCTCGAGTGGAGGGCGTGGGCGGCCCACATGTTCACCTGGACGCGGATCTGCTCGGTCAGCTGGATCTGCTGGAGCTGCTGCTGCTGCAGACACAAGATCTGCTCCAGGACCCACGGGATGCTGTTGGCACCGGGCACAGGGGCAGGGAGGGCATCCGCGCTCCGCTGATTCACCGCCACCTTGGTGCCCCGTAGTGCCTGCAAGGTCACGTTAATGTTGGCCACTTTGCCTTTGGGTAAATAGTTTATGTCCTGGGGGGTGGGTGGCAGGGCTGTCTCTGTCTTTAGGTACACCACAGACTCCGCACCTGGCTTCTCCTTCATGTCCCCTGAGCTGCCACCATTCTCCCTGTGACTGTCCTTACTGCTGGGACTGGGGGACTGTTGGCTCAGTACCGCTCCAGAGAAGTCTTCTGAAGGCACCGGGCCCTCACTGTCATTCATGATGAGGACAGGTGGATTTTTAGTGCAATTTTTCTTATGTTCTAGGAACTCAGAGATGCTGAAGAACTCTGCACAGCATTTCTCGCAGACGTGCGTCTCCTCCCGACGAAGCCGCTTTACTGTGGCTTCGTCCTCACTCGCCTCATTGTCGTTCCCTGGGTGGTTTACTGGAGCACCCGGCTCCCCCGGCGCGGGCGCCACTGGGGCCGCATCTGCAAACTCCGGGGTCGCCTGCTGCGCCTGCTGCTCGCCCTGGTCCTCCTCGGAGTTGATGTGCTGGGGTTTCACCTGCTTGCGCCTCGACATGGTCATTTTTTTTTTTAAATTGCACTTTAGGTTCTGGGGTACATGTGCAAATCATGCAGGATTGTTGCATAGGTACATACATGGCAATGTGGTTTACTGCCTCCATCCCCCATCACCTGTATCTGGCATTTCTCCCCATGTTAGCCCTCCCCAACCTCCCTACTCCCCACTGTCCCTCCCCTATTACCCCACAACAGATGCCAGTGTGTGATACTCCCCTCCCTGTGTCCATGTGTTCTCACTGTTCAACATCCATGAGTGAGAACATGCAGTGTTTGATTTTTTGTTTGTGTGTCAGTTTGCTGAGAATGATGTTTCCAGATTCATCCATGTCCCTACAAAGGACATGAACTCATCATTTTTTAAGGCTGCATAGTATTCCATGATGTATATGTGCCACATTTTCCTTATCCAGTCTATCATCAATGGGCATTTGGATTGGTTCCAGGTCTTTGCTATTGTAAGCAGTGCCTCAATGAACATACATGTGCATGTGTCTTTATAATAGAACGATTTATAATCCTTTAGATATATATCCAGTAATGGGATTGCTGGGTCAAATGGTATTTCTATTTCTAGGTCCTTGAGGGATCGCCACACTGTCTTCCACAGTGGTTGAACTAATTTACACTCCCACCAACAGTGCAAAAGTGTTCCTATTTCTCCACATCCTCTCCAGCATCTGTTGTCTCTAGATTTTTTGATGATCACCATTCTAACTGGCGTGAGATGGTATCTCAATGTGGTTTTGATTTGCATTTCTCTAATGACCAGTGATGATGAGCATTTTTTCTTATGTTTGTTGGCCTCATATATGTCTTCTTTTGAAAAGTGTCTGTTCATATCCATTGTCCACTTTTGAATGGGGTTGTTTTTTTCTTGTAAATCTGTTTTAGTTCTTTGTAAATTCTGGATATTAGCCCTTTGTCAGATGAGTGGATTGCAAAAATTTTTCCCATTCTGTTGGTTGCTAGTTCACTCTAATGATTGGTTTTTTTGCTGTACAGAAGCTGTGGAGTTTAATTAGCTCCCATTTGTCTATTTTGGCTTTTGTTGCCATTGCTTTCAGTGTTTTAGTCATGTAGTCCTTGCCTATGCTTATGTCCTGAATGGTTTTGCCTAGTTTTTATGGTGTTAGGCCTGATGTTTATGTCTTTAATCCATCTGGAGTTAATTTTAGTGTAAGGTGTCAGGAAGAGGTCCAGTTTCTGCTTTCTGCACATGGCTAGCCAGTTTTCCCAACACCATTTATTAAACAGGGAATCCTTTCCACATTGCTTGTTTTTGTCAGGTTTGTCAAAGATCGGATGGTTGTAGATGTGTGGCATTGCTTCTGAGGCCTCTGCTCTGTTCCCTTGGTCTATATCTCTGTTTTGGTACCAGTACCATGCTGTTTTGATTACTGTAGCCTTGCAGTATAGTTTGAAGTCAGGTAGTGTGATGTCTCTAGCTTTGTTCTTTTTACTTAGGATTATTCTTGGCTATACAGGCTCTCTTTTGGTTCCATATGAAGTTTAAGGTGGTTTTTTCCAGTTCTGTGAAGAGGGTCATTGGTAGCTTGATGGGGATAACATTGAATCTATAAATTACTTTGGGCAGTATGGCCATTTTCACAATATTGATTCTTCCTAACTATGAGTATGGAATATTTTTCCATCTGTTTGTGTCCTCTCTTATTTCCTTGAGCAGTGGTTCATAGTTCTCCTTGAAGAGGTCCTTTACATCCTTTGTTAGTTGTATTCCTAGGTATTTTATTCTCTTTGTAGCAATTGTTAATGGCAGTTCGCTCTTGATTTGGCTCTCTTTCAGTCCGTTATTGGTGTAGAGGAATTTCATTTTCTTTACAATGACAAAGAGAAAAAGTATTAAGCTTATGAAAACTAAACAATGTTTAACAATTTTCATGGTTCATGGTTTTTTTAATCTATAACATTTTTTGCTTGTCTTGAGTTTGCAAAGATTTTCCTCAATGTTCTCCTGAAGAAATTTTACAGTTTTAGCGCTTACTTTTAGATCTAAGATTAATTTGAAGATAATATTTGTGTAAGGAGTAAGTTAAATGCTGGGTTTTTTTTTTTTTTTTAATGGATAGCCAATTGTTCCAACACCATTGTTGAAAAGACTATCCTACCTTCATTTAATTATCTTGATCCCTTTGGTAAAAATCAATCAACCGTGTATGTGTGGGTCTGTTTTTTAATTTTCTGTTTTGTCCCATTGGCATATTTATCTATCCTTACATCAATATCACAGTGTCTTGTTTACTATAGCTTCATAGTAAGTATTAAAATCAAGTTGTGTAATCCTCTGAATTTCTTCCTCTTTTAAAAATTATTTTGACCTCAGTCCTTTGCTGTTCCATAAAATATTAGAATTAGATTATATAGTTTGCAAAGGAAAACATTCTGAGATCATTGGTAGGATTCCATTGCATCTAAGGACCATTTAGGAAGAACTGTCATTTTAACAATATTGAGTCGTCTCATCTGGGAATATTGATTTATCCCTCAGGTCTTTAATTTCACTCAACAGTGTTTTATAATTTGCATTGTACAATCTGGCCTATAATTGTTACATTTATCTTGAAGAATTCCAAATTTGATGTTATTGTAAAAGGTAATGTTTTTTCAATTTCATTTTCTAATTTCATTACTAGTATATGGAACTGCAATTAATTTTTCTGTTCTTTTATCCTGAGATTTTGCTACACTCACATTACTTTTGGTGACTTTTTTGTAGATTCGTTAGGATTTTATGGAATTTAATGGAAAATAAAACTATATTTTTAGAAGAAAATAAATAATATATACAAGATTGTATCATTTGACACCTACAGTAAAATATTGAAAAGAGGTGGTGAGTATTAATATTTTTGCCTTGATTATGATATTGGGAGTGGGTGCAATGGGCAGACTCTGTCTTTCACTCAGCACTATGTTAGCTACAGGTTTTTTCGTAGATGCCATTTATTAGGTTGTTTGGTTTTCTAAGAAACTGCCATACTCTTTCCCAGAATGACGATACCATTTTACATTCTCACCAGCAATGTGTGAGTGATCAATAGCATATCTTTTCTATCATTTTACTTTTAAACTATTTTTTTGGTGGATTCCTTTTCAACAGCACATAGTCAGGTCTTGCATTCTTACCTAGTCTCACAATCTCTGCTTTTTAACTGGTTTATGCCCTTTACCTTCAATGTAATTGCTGATATGGTTCGTATATCACCTTAATATTTCTTTTACATTAGACTATGCTTGATATTATTTTACCCTTCACTAAGGCACTGTTCTTTTTATTCTTTTTTTCTCTCTGTGATTCAAATAGGATCTTTTCTATTGCATGTTTTCAAGTTCACTCGTGTTTCTTCCTGCTGTGTCCCATCTTTTGTTAATCCCATCCAGTGAGCCTTTATTTCAGATGTTGTGAAATGTTTAGAATTTTTCCATTCCCAAAGTACCAGTTGGTTCTTTTTGTACTATTTCTCTTATCATTGTGTTTGTTTTCTTAAAATACTTGAACATATTTGTAAGAGCTATTTTAGCATGTTTGCCTACTATTCCCATTATCATTTTTATTTTGAGGTTCATTTCTATTGACTGACTTATTGTTATTAGTCACATTTTTCTTCTCGTCACATCTAGAAATATTTAATTGCTCATTGGATATTATGAATTGTATATTGTTGACTGCCTCAATTTGTTGCCATTTTAAACAATAAAATTATGCTTCATTTTTTTCAGGGAAGTAAATAATTTTCAGTAATATTAATTCTTTCAGAAGTTGTTTTTAAGCTTTTTGTTGTTGTGAATCTAAAATAGAGCTCACTTTTTCTAGAGATATTTTCACCTTACTAATAAAGTATGAAAACCCCTAGCCCCCACCAGGAGCCTCTGTTTTGTGCCCTGGGTGATTGAAAAGGGCTCTCTCTTCTTGCTGGTTGGAATACAATTGTGTTCCAGTCCTGTGTGAGATCTAGTCTTTGCTCGGCTTATAGCTCCACAGCCTCTCCTTGCCCATCCTTATGGAATTTCACTCTACACGTGTGCAGTTTTGTATTCAGCAAAGACTCAACTGGACATTTAAGATACAGATTTCTGGACCTCTTTGTCTGTTTAGCTTCCTCCTCTACAGAACTCTGCCCCATGATTTCCAATTACCTCAGCCTCCCTGAACTCTGAGCTCTGTATAATCACCTAACAAAACTACTGTTTATTCTGCTTTGGAAACTCCTCCTAATACTTTCATTTAGAATGTGCCTCCTACTAGAATAGCAGAAATGCAGGCCTGCTATGTATCTTTCACTTTATATGTTTTCCTTCTTACAGGAATTATAAGCTCATGCTGCCTGTTGTCCTTTGTTGAAAACATTGTTTCATATATTTGTTCAGCTTTCTAGTTGTTTATAGTGGGAAAGTAAGTCTAGTTCTGTTATTCCACTATGACTGGAACTAAGTTATCTTTTAAAGAAATTGAGAGAAGAAAAATAGAGCAATGTTTTATATTTTTAAAAAATATTTATAATTATGAGTTCTCTTCCTTTTTTAAATAGATCTAAATTTCTAGTCTGAAGAATTTATTTAGCAGTTATTACAATTATGTCTGCTGGAATTGGTTTCTCTCTGCTTTTGTTTATCTAAAAACATCTTAATTTTGCTTTTATTTTTGAAGTAAATTTTTGCTGGTTATAGAATTCTAGGTTTCAATGGCAAAACCCACAATTACTTTTGCACCAACCTAATAGTTCTTTATCTTTTATTCTCCACTATTCCTTATATGTCTTATTTTGTTTGATGATTATTAAAAATATTTATTTCATTACTTTATAAATTTGATGAAAATTCAAAATGAGCATATACCCAGATAAATTTAAGAATCAAAGAATAAATAGAGATAAATCATAGTTATTTTTAAAGGTGTCTCTTCTGCTTGAGTGGCAAAATGAATTGGGCTTAAATAATACAGTAAAAAATATTTTCTAGTGTGTTAGAAAATACAGT